ATATTTTGGTTTTATCTACTTAGTTACTAATGGGTGAGAAAATGGGGGGGAAGATACATTTTCCTGGTCACAAATACAATTACTATTTTTGTTTTTATTATAACAAGATTAAAAGTAGTTGATCTTGCAGTTTTAATTGTTATCATTATTGTTATTTTCTGGAACATGTTACAAAGACTCATATTTTGATCAAAAATCATTTTTCACTGTTTAGCCATTGACTCTGACCATCAACTTTTTGACCCCAAAATTAATAATCTACTTTCTTATCACAAGTGCAAGCCATTTTCAAAATCTGATTCTATTCTGTTCTGAAAAACTAAGGTTATGAAAACACCATTTTTTTCAGTTAAAGCTATCTTGATCTTTGATCCATAAAAATGATAGACTTTTATCTATCCCCAATGGTCCGCAGGCAGCTGAGTGATCTAAAGCACTGATCACTGCCATCTCACTTCCATCAGTGCTTCTTACCTGGGATATTCCTAAGCCAGTAATACAGGTATCATCTAGCCTATAGTGTTAAACCCAAAAGAACAACAAATTCTTATCCCAAATGTAAGCTGCTAGCATTTACAAAGTTTGGTAGATGGTGGAGAGCTTAAGTTATTTGCAGAAACAAAATACTATGATGACCATCCAGACTGATTTCATACTCATACAAAATACTCTACACCTATGGTGGGTATATACAAATTATTGAATAAATGAATATGGGTTTTGACATTATCTGCCACAATTTAATATATCAATATGTATTTATATGTTTATGTGCAGAAGTTAATAGATGATGAAACATGAACCTGTTATGGCCCAAGGATCAAACCTTAGTCCCACAGAATCCGGCCACTTTGTCGTTACTTGCAAACTAACTATCAAGATACCCATCAAAATAATTATGTACATATATGTGCTAGGAAATGAAATGACAAAATACAGACACCATACTGACATTTACCCTTGGTTTGTCATTACCTTCTGTATGCACCCAAATGGCCTACATTAAGGGGATTGTAGGCACCCAAATGGCCTACATTTGGGGGATGGTAGACATCCAAATGGCCTACATTTGGGGGATGGTAGGCAGAAGACTGAGGCACTGAGATAATGTTTGTGCTTTATAAATAGGTAATTCAAGTTTCTCTTTTGGTTCTATGTGGCCTTTTGTAGTCTTCAAATTTTAATCATTTTATTTAAACAGCAGGGAAGTGTTCTCCTGTGTTAAATGGCAGGGTTAAGAAATGACCATAAGTACCTGTAACTGGTATATGGTATTTATGTGGATTCTGTAATTGGAAATCTTTCCAGACATGTCATCCATGCCAATACTTTTAAAAATAAATCCCTATATATTATATTCCTATATAAATTGTCCAAGATCTTTATAAGCTGCAATTCTGAGCAAATGATTACAAATTTAAATAAGAAAATAATATCAAAATAAGTAGAAAAACATTCCATGATCTATGATCTAAAACAATTGATCTGTCAATATGACCTTGATGAATATACTCAATTCAAATGATCTGTTAATACAATCGTGATAAAGGTACTAAATACAATCTGACAATATAATCATGATGAATGTATTAAATGCAAATGATCTGTTAATATGATCATGATGAATCTACTCAATACAAATCTGTCAATATGATGACAATGAATGTACTCAATACAAATCTGTCAATATGATGACAATGAATGTACTCAATACAAATCTGTCAATATGATGACAATGAATGTACTCAATGAACTGTCAGTATAATCATGATGATAGTCAATAAAATTGATCTGTCAACAAATGTTCTACTCTATTGGAAATAAAAGCATCTTATTATCCCTATATTTTTTAAAACTGTTTTACAAAATATGTGTTTTTACATAAATTGCTTACAAAAAATTCCCTATAAAATCACTGCAATTTATACAAATATGGCAGGGCGATCATGATGCCATTTTAACAAGGTAACCTTTAAAAAAAATAAAATTGCTTTCCTTTGTTAAAATTACTATATCTGATAATGAAAAGCACGTTTTAAAGCAAAAGTACTCTTTCAAATAAACTTGGCTGTCATCCCAACCTTTTTTTCCGCTAGTAACTTGTTCGAATGTACGAAAATTAATGTACATGCCAGTTTCAATTTGAAACTGAAACAAGGAAAATTCCTGTTTTTGTTGTGCACTAATAAGTAACATTTAATATTCGTGCTTCATATGTTTACTAATTTTACTATACAGGCGCATGCTTAGGCCGATAAATCAGCTCCACGCCTATAATATTACTGAATGGCGGTTTATCGTCCATCAATATCAACAATGATTGGGAACGGGGGTTGATTTCTTATACTACCTCTTGCTAAAACTGTTATGTTGATACTTTATGAAGCCTTTTATTTTCTAGTCTTAGGTGTCACAGGAGTCTGACATTTTTCTTAATTAATTTATGGTACAAATAAGTCGATTTCGTGTTGTCAGAGATTTCATCATACTTTATTGAAATATCGCCAGACTCCTGTGTCAGATACAACATTACCGACATCGCTTCCTTAAATGGTCACATTCATACGTCAATCCGTAATCAGGCATGAACCTGCAAGGCAAATGAATTAAACAAATCTATTATATTAACACTTACCTATTATATCATCAACTTCCCGATTTATGACCTAAATCCAACGCACACGAAGTTGTTTGCTGCAGTTGTCAAGTAAACCGCACAATTCCCGACTGGAAACACTCTCACGGATCACTACCTCGAAGGTCAATTGGAATGTCTTCGACAATTTCTGTGCGGAAATTTTTATGGCCCGGATGTATGTCAGCGCATAAATTTACAGAAAAAGATACTACAGAACAGGGAAGTAACAGTGAAATTGGAAATATAAGTTCGATACATTCGCCACTTCATGCTCCTTGTTTCTTAAATATCCAAGATAGTTCAAATGCTGCTATACATTCGGGGTATTGATTTCGGATTTACGAATGTCGATTGAAACATCTGATGTTTCTTTCTAGACTTGACGGGAAAAAGCTTAGAATGTTTTAGCTTGCTGAAATTTTGACAATATTTATATATTCAGCCTCTGTTATCAAGTCTAGGAAGAAACCGCTGATGTAATGTATCGCCTTCAGAACTTTAATAGGGCCTAATATCGGAGCTAAAGGAGACAAAGTCACAATCGGAACACTCTTGGTCTTCCGAACTTATTTCAAAATCTTACGAAAATTACCGAGCGATGTTCTATTCGAAAAATGTCACCTATGACAGCAAAGGTCGAGGATGTTTTGATATGACTTTGAATTATACCGATTGAGTTTTGACTAAAGCAACGAAAACAACTGGTAGCGACACAACTGGAAATAATTGACTTAATGCTATTTCTTTATTACAAAGCATGTTTACAAATAGTTCTGCCAGTCTGACATTTTTCATTGAGACGGGCCTTATAACGCTGCGTGAGACCTTGTGTGCGGATCATTATCAGAGACCATGGTACCTAAGCATCTATATTCTGAACTTCTGAACTATATTCAGATTTTTTTTTTTTACTGGTCACATGGGACGATATGTAAGCGGAAGGAAATGTCATAATCGGAATACTTTCAATCTTTGTTATTTAATTTGCATTGTTTGTTAGTTTTAATTTTTTAAAATTTTCATTTATTGAAATGTAATAGTATTTGGAGTAAACCTTGTCAAAAATAAAGTTTGTTTTCTACTTGACCTGAATTATTGATTCTTTATATATTCTGTAAACAATTAATACAAAGCTAAAATATTCTCAGTGTGTATGGGTTTACTATCAGGTCATTATGAATAGAAGTTAATGTTTATTTGCGAGCTTGATGCTGGAAAAGCAACAATATGAAGTAGATAAAAAAAAATCATACCGAATCAAGATTACCCCCCATGAACCATTTTAACATAGGACCCTCAGGCCTTGTCCATGGTATTATAAAAGAGAAACAGCAAGCAACTTCCAAAAACTTCGTTCCAAGCCTATTCTCTGTTACAGGCTCCGAAAAGTACGAATGACGGAAAATTATGCCCGCTGTACAAAGTTATGCTCCTGAGAAACGTAATATAATTGGCTTAAAGGTAATATCAAGAACTAGATGCATGCGTTTTGTACAAGTTTTACTCTTTGAGCCAATCATATTTCGCCGTTAAAGTGTGTGCCGCATTAAATCGAGTTAACGGTAAGTAGAAACATAGTTTTGCATCTACCAATTTCTCAGATTAATGCAGGAATGTCTCAAATACCGTATCTCCCATTAAACTAGAGCTCGCTGCAGTAGAGTAAGTTTTTCCGGGTCGGCAAAATTCGCGCAAAAAATTCGTACATTTCAGAGTCCATAACTTGGTTTGGTACAACACTGAAAAATGAATGATAGCTTGGTAAATAGAAAACTATTTCAGGAGTAAAACAAGCCATATATTATCGAGGTATGCCTTCAAAGAGAGAAATAGCAGAAACAAATCGAGAATCAGGCGTGGAATGAAATTTTCGGAAGTTATTTATCTCTTGCATAGTATGATAGAATCCTCTGTTGGAACGGGTCATGGGGGTAATCTGAAATAATGTTGTCACATGCTGTGATTTTTTTCCTTCAGATTATTGTTTTTTTTTTTTTCAATATTAAGCTCGCGTTGAGCACCTGTCTAATATACCTGTGTACCTGATATTGTCCTAGTTATATATGATAATTTTGGAACAGGCTTTCTAAATACTAACGGGATTATTTTGTAAACATTAACAACGTTCTAAAAGGTTATCTTCCGTTAGATAATGTGTTTTGTTTAATAATGATTATTATGACCTGAGGTCAAGTAGAGGACTATATAATCTCGTCACTGGAAAGATTCATCATCATCATCATCATGATCATCATCATCATCATCATCATCATCATGATGATGATGATCATCATCATCATCATCATCATCATCATCATCATCATCATCATCATCATCATCATCATCACCTTAGACCGCTCCAGTGGCCTAGTGGTTAGAGCATCCGCGTCGGATGCGGGAGGTCGCGGGTTCGAACCCCAGCCAAGTCATACCAAAGACTTCAAAAGAGGTATTAACAGCTGCCTCGCAAGCGCGTTCAGCATTAAGAGGTTAGTGTTAGGACTGGTGGTTGGCCTGGTGTCAGGATAATATGACTGGGTGGGACATTATACCTCATGTCTGCAGCATGACACCCCAGTACGGGACATAACTATAAACTGTCAAACTGCAGACATCATAGGGATAGGACTAATTGTTAAAGCTACGTTAAAAATCTAATGACACATACATATACACACACACACACACACACACACACACACACACACACACACACACACACACACACATACTAACTTAGCCTTAGAGGTCGTTCGCTCACCACAATTGACTTCACAACCAATTCTCTCCATCTTTCCCTGTTTTCTACTGCCCTTTGGGAATCTCGTAGGGATATGACATCGTAGGGATATGACTAATTGTTAAAACTACGTTAAAAATCTAATGACACATACATATATATGCACACACACAGACACACACAGACACACACACACACACACTAACTTAGCCTAAGAGGTCGTTCGCTCACCACAATTAACTTCACAACCAATTCTCTCCATCTTTCTCTGTTTTCTACTGTCCTTTGGGAATCTCCATATCACATGCTTGTCCACTCCTTACTGTTGTCTTCCCAATTCTTTGTATGTCAGCCTCTTCTTCACCCTCGCAGTGTGCCTTGCAAGATTGTTTTTGCCAGTCTAGATAGGTGCTAGTCTGATAGCAGGAAGCGGTCTTCGTGTTAGACGATAACAAATATAATAAAGATGTTCAAACGTATATCCGATCCAACATTTGATACCGACGCACCGATACTCAAGGATGAATCTGTGCGAGATTATCAGTATTATTTTTATGATGCACGTGTACCTAACGACCCAGGAAAAATTGAATTACAAGTTCATGATACAAGTAGTTATTTCTTACCCGCCGAGGCATTCATTGAAGTAGAAGGTAGACTTTTGAAAGCAGATAATACAGCATACGGAATCGGTGATCGAGTTGGTTTTGTTAATAATGGGGTCATGCATTATTTAACAGTGGCAAATATATGATTGATGTTCGGGAAATTGAGATTTGTCAGAGCAACATCATCGTTGCATTGCAAGATACAGCGGTGATTACTCGAGATCAGCTGGTTCATCAATGATCTTTGCAAAGGATACAACTAATCATCCAGAAAACAGAAACGTAACACTGAATGCAGCTGGGGATACAGTTGTATCTACGAACGAAAATTTCAACTTTGGATTCGGAACAGGTCAATTAATGTTGAACGACAATGAAAAATTTTTATGTGCAATTCCACCGTCACATATATTTGGATTTTGTAGATGCCAACAATGACTCCATCACTAACCGAAGAATAACGGTTGCTTGCTTTGATGGACAGCGATGGTAATCAACAATTTGGTTGACGATGACCACAGATAGCATTCAAAGTAACATAAATGGTTTATTCACATGGCAGATAGCATCACAGCAAGGTGTCTCTCCACCACGACCTATATTCATTGCTTTCCAAGATGCTGCTTGAGACAACTCACAGTTACGTTGTGTAATGGTATTTAACAAACTTGGTATCAGTGAGAATAAATGGACATCAAAACCAGTTGTGGATATACTACTGAATTTAGATAATAGAAATCATGTTGCACATGCATATCATCGTTTGATGACATTAATGGGTTACGATCAAACTGATGATTTTGGATTGCAAATATCTCCGAGTGATTTTTACATTATATCCCATCTATTATTTCGCACTGGAACACTTGAATTTTTTCAGACAATTAGCAGTTGATATACACTTTAGAGCTCGTGTAGCAAGAGGAGCAAATATTGCTAATTACAGAGCAATCGCTGTTGTACTCTAAGATAAAACAGTGTTGCTTGAATGTGTTTGTGGACGAATGAGAGTCATTGATGCCCCAGTGTAAAACATGTAATTAAATCGCTCATAATATTACAATTTCATATCGTCATATTAGTGTCATTCAAACTCCTGGTCAGATTCAAAAGCTACAATCAGTATAAAAAATAATTCGGGAATGAAAATATAACTGAAATCAGAACAGATATTAGGTGGTCCAAAATAAACTATCACTGACTGAGTCTGAACTCAATCATTGCAATGACACCAAACGATCAAAGACTTGTGTATGACTTAATCTGTCTGCGAGTGCCATTAACGATGCAGTCAAGACGGGTGGGATATTTCCACTTCTCACAGCTATACCAGCGTTGACAGCCTCTGTAGCTCCAGATATTGCAAAAGCAGATGCATTCGATGCTATTGGAACTGCTGCTGGGATGGCATTAAAGAAAGAAGCAGTGGTAGAATCTATAACAATAAAATCCGCTGCGATGGAAACGTAATTGAAATCGTGAAACAATTAGCGCAATCAATCATTTAAGGCACAAAACAAATGATACCCGCGATGATGCCAGCGACGAAGCAACAAGCCGCTCAATAAGTATAACGTTTAATACAAGCGTTGAAACAACAAGCCATGAAAATCTTACGTAAAAAGGGGAAGATCTAAGACTGCCACTTTTCTCTATGGTATTCAACATTACCAACACAGACAATAACTAATTATCCAATATGAGGGCTTTATGTATTTAATGTACACGACGCTGTGTCATCAGGCCTTAGTGAATGTACAATGGTTGATAATTTTGGAAGATCTCGGAGTTTAAACCTGAATTGAATTATCAAAAGAGAACCAAAATCAGACGATGATGTGACAACAAAATGATACGAAAACAGTAACAACGTAACGATCAGAACTGAGATCGATGATCATTTGCTATCCACCGTGATGCAATGACTGGTCCTCTGAACATGTCCAATAATACAATCACTTGTCTTAGAGAACCAGAATCAAATGATGACGCCGGAACAGAACAAAAATATGCTGATATCAACATTTCGACGATGACATTGCGGATGACATTCAATAATGGATTTTGGCTACATTAAGATCTGATTATACTACTCACGAACAAGCGTTTTAAAAATTTGCTTGTAAAATGGGCATGCGCAGTGGTGAACAATGAATTGCATGGCGTGTGCAAGAAGCGTCCCATCCACTCAACTCGCCGTGAAGCTTAACAAATCCCATTACTAAAGTGGTGCAATGATTGTCCGTGAACAAGAGGAATGGAACAGGTTGGGTGACGTCACGGTACTGGACAGTTGCAACAATGTAGCAAAGACAGTAATTTCATGCTACCTGTGTCGTTTCTATATACAAACACGAATCATTCGCGTTCTTGTCAGTGAAGAGTATACTGCAGTATGTTTAAGATGTTAGTTTATTTTCATAGATTCATGAAGATTAATCTATCCCACACAAATTACAAAATCGACTAAAATATTTTTTAGGTAAGAGAATAATGTTTTGGGGAGTTAAAAGATCAATTCTACAATCGAATAAGATTTTTTTTAGTCATGGTGAAAATAAATATCTTTTCGAGGCAGTGGAGTGGCCCTGAAATGGGCCTTTGGGTTTTATGTTGACACCATTTTGTTAACATAGAGGGCATTGCACAGGTCTTCCTCTCTTTCTCAAACTTCATCTAACCTCTGGTCTATAAACCAGAACTCGCTTCAGACATCATTGTCTTTACACATATGTCCTTCTTTTCCAAACGCTTGTCTCGGTATTCGTAACGATTCTCCTTGATGAACTGATATATATGTGTGAGTCCATGCGGAGAAACAAAGATGATATGAAAATAGACGATCCAACGTTGGTCCACATCCTTGTGACGAGAATAGGCGAAAGGAATGAATTGAACCGCTTTTATTTATAGTGGAAGAGCGAATAAAATCGAGCCGATCAGTCAGCGGAGGCCAGAGTAGCTTCCGTCAACAATTTCATGCATTCCTTGTTCAGCGAAATGGATTTGTACTTGAATAACAATCTTGTCAGCAGCAGTATGAATAATTACCCTTACCGAGCGTACCTAGAAAATCTCTTGACGTACAGAAAAGAGGAAAAGAACACTCATCCGGATGCTTGCGCGGAATGGAATCTGACACCGCAGGTGAGGATACGTTTATCGACACAGTTCTGACTGCCGATGAGGAACCTCACAGTGTGGGTTTTAACTACCATTGAAGGAAAATTCGGCAAGGTCGAAATTTAGAACTGATGGATCGTTTGCATTTGGACATGTGGTTGCAAGGCAAGTGTTTGCTGAACGGTGTGGATATTCCTCTGAGACTCATTGTCAGCAATGTCGCTTTCTATTTGATGGCTGATGCCAACGAGTAGAAAACCATCATCCAAGAAGCCAGGCTTTACGTGCGTGCGTCGAGTAGAATTGTTACCTAAAGAGGGTAACGACATCAATAAAACATTGAGCAGATTAAACGCCAAGTATCCAATACGACGAAAAGAAGTGAAAACATTTGCTGTTGCTGCTGAACTCCGATCCAAGATCGAAGATCGTCTGTTCCAAGGACAGTTACCCAAACATTTAATCTTTGGCATCGTCAGTAAGACAGCCCTCAATGGAGCCCGTCATAAAATCATTTCCAGTTTAAGCACTACAGTGTGTCCAAGATTGAAGTCAGTCGCGAAACTACCTAGAAAAAATACTTGGGATCGTACTTGTTCCTGTACGAAGCTACCCGACAACTAGGAACCAACACCAGTCACGGTATTTCGTACGAAGTTAATGTAGGAGGTTACAATTGTGGGTGTTTGATTTCACTCGAGACCAAGGCATCGACGAGGAAAATTTCCATCCTATAAAATTTGGTTAACTGCGTGTGGAACTTTAGTTTGGAGAAGCTCTCAACTCCAAATTAACAGTTTGAGAGAAGTCATTCTAGACTATTAGAAATAATGAAAGACTCATATCCGTCATTGAATGATAGATAATCTTTGGACATAGAATGGAAGAATATAGTAAAAATAGAACCACAAAGTCCAAGACAAAGAGGACGAGTTAGTGGTCACGTCCAGATGGCCAG